GAGTCACGGCCCTGGGCACCGCCCGAGTCACGGCCCTGGGCACCGCCCGAGTCACGGCCCTGGGCACCGCCCGAGTCACGGCCCTGGGCACCGCCCGAGTCACGGCCCTGGGCACCGCCCGAGTCACGGCCCTGGGCACCGCCCGAGTCACGGCCCTGGGCACCGCCCGAGTCACGGCCCTGGGCACCGCCCGAGTCACGGCCCTGGGCACCGCCCGAGTCACGGCCCTGGGCACCGCCCGAGTCACGGCCCTGGGCACCGCCCGAGTCACGGCCCTGGGCACCGCCCGAGTCACGGCCCTGGGCACCGCCCGAGTCACGGCCCTGGGCACCGCCCGAGTCACGGCCCTGGGCACCGCCCGAGTCACGGCCCTGGGCACCGCCCGAGTCACGGCCCGCTCCCCCCGCCCGCGGGTCCTGTGCCTGCTCTCCCCCGGCACCTCCCTGCAGGGGCTTGGGGGAGTGGGTGAGTGCAGCTGAGTGCCCGGCTCCCTGTGGCGTTTTCCCGTGGCCCCGCCGTCCGCGCCGGGCTCTTCCTGCAGTTGCCTGGGCGGCGTGTCTCCCACGCGGGGGGATGAGCCCGGGAGGGAGTGGATTCTGCCTGGTTCCTGGCTGTGCTGGTGCCCCCGGCGCCAACCCGCAGGACGTGCCTATGAGGTGCTGACGGCCGGTCGCGTGACGTGTTCGCTGGTCACCCCTCAGTCCCCGGCCTTTGCTGGCGGCGAGTGCCCCGGACGCCTCCGGCTCTTTGGGGAGCACGGGGAGTCCTGGCCCTGGCTGCGCCTGGCAGGGAGCGGCGCCGGCGGGCTCTGTCTCCCCATCATTGCCTTGACGGAGAGGGCAGCAATACCGACGCTTTTTAATCTAAAACTTAGAATATTTACAAGTTATATATTTATGTAGTTGAAGAAATATTTATTTTACCTGAATGTGGTGATGGAAGTTGTGCAGACTGTATGTTTATTTTACCTGAATGTGGTGATGGAAATTTCTACCAAGGTAAAAATTAACTCTCAGAAAGCTGCGATTATCTTATATAAAGAGTCACCTGACGCCTTCAGGAAGCAAGGGAAGGGGAAACAATGAAAGGCTGTCTCCTCGCTGTAACGGGGCGGACCCGGAAAGCTCAGCGCCGGGGGCAATTCTGCAGAACTGCGCTTCAAGTGCGTCAGAGCGAACTAACTTAGTGGACGTTACCATCTCTGTCGTAGAAAGAAAATTGAATAGACTGATAGTGTAAATGACCTGACTCATGTTTGTTTCATTTTTATAAAACTGTAAGATTTGGGGGTTTTCCACAGGGTCGTGGATTTCAGCTGCAGTGTATGCTTGCTGCCTTTTGAGAATGCTGTGCTATAGTTTGAAAAGAAGATGTACAAACGCACAGAAGTAAAGCCACGTGTGATGAACTTTGGCGTTAGGTCGTGTACAGTTAGTTACAGGTTGAGTCTAAAACGATTTCCAGGGCGTGTGTAATCGCTTGTTGTCAGTGGTGTGTGTTTATGGTGCATCTTTAAAATTCGGGTTGTAATTCCAGCGCCTGTGTCAGCTGTTACCGTCGTTGTCCTCTCTTTGTAGTTGAGATTTTTTTCCTGCTTTTTGTATGGTGAATACTCATTTTTGGATTGTATCATGGACATTTTTTATAATATGTTTGTATTGATTTTAGAGAGAGAGGAAGGGAGTAGGATAGAGAGATGGAAACACTGATGAGAGAGAAGCATCAGCATCGCTGCCTCCTGCCCGGCCCTGCCGAGCACGGAGCCTGCGTCCCGGGATGGTCCCCGACCGGGGATCACGCCAGCGCTCTCCCGGTTCGTGGGTCTGTGCTCAGCCACTGGGCCGCACTGGCCAGGCTCTTACTGGCTTTTAACATATTAGTTTATGTCTTTTCTAATTTTGTTTACTTGTCCTGTTTATTTTGTTTTTCAGGCAGATACAGATAAAACAATGTCTGCCAACCTGAAATATCTTTCCTTGGGAATCTTGGTCTTCCAGACGACCAGTTTGGTTCTAACAATGCGCTATTCCAGGACCTTGAAGGAGGAAGGACCTCGCTATCTGTCTTCCACAGCGGTGGTTGTGGCTGAAATCCTGAAGATAATGGCCTGCATTTTATTAGTCTACAAAGATAGCCGTAGGTATCTAGGTTTTTGTTTTTAAGTCATTGAAATTTATTTGTTTGGTATTATTTATATCTAACATATGTAAATATATGTTGGTAACTACACATTTGAACACTACTGCATTATCTAATGCCCTAGTATTTCAGTATTTTTCATTAAGACAGTTTGGTTTTTTTAAAGATTTTTTAAAATTGATTTTTTTTAGAGAGAGGAGAAGGGAGAGAGAGAAACATTGATGTGAGAGCAAAACATTAATCAGCTGCCTCCTGCACCCCTTCGACCCCCTACTGGGGATCAAGCCTGAGACCTGGGCATGTGCCCTGACCTGGAATCTAACTGGCAACCTTTTCATGCACAAGACGGTGCCCAACCAGCAGAGCCACACTGGCCAGGGCACCAAATAAAAGAATATAAGGATAATGCTATTCTTAACATGCTACCTTATAATATTTAACATTTGAAAAGTTAGCATCATTAAAGGTATAGTTTGGACCTCAAGTGTCTTAACATGTAGCTCAATTTCCTTTGTTTACAGGCGAGGAAACAGGCCTTGGGAGAGGGTACACAGCTCAGTCAGAGCTACTTAATAACCGCGTTGGCCCTTTTCATGTTTTCCTAGAATGTAGCCTGAGAGCACTGAATCGGACACTACGTGATGAAATCCTCAATAAGCCTATGGAGACGGTTAAACTCGCTATTCCATCAGGGATATATACTCTTCAGAATAACCTGCTCTACGTGGCGCTGTCAAATCTAGACGCGGCTACCTACCAGGTACTGCAACTACATGTCCAGTCCTTTTAAGAAACAGACCCACAGCCTGGCCAGACATGGCTCAGCGGTTGAGCGTCGACATAGGATCCAGGTGATCGGGGTTCGATTCCTGGTCAGGGCACATGCCCAGGTTGCGGGCTTGATCCCCAGTCGGGGGCGTGCAGGAGGCAGCCGATCCATGACTCTCATCATTGATGTTTCTCTCTCTCTCCCTTCCTCTCTCTGAAATCAATAAAGATATATAAAAAAAGAAAAAGAAAAGAAAAGAAACAGACCCACAGCCATGAGTAATAGTCGCTGTTTTCTTTTCCAGGTCACCTATCAGTTGAAAATTCTTACGACGGCACTGTTTTCTGTGTCTATGCTTAGTAAAAAATTAGGTGTGTACCAGTGGCTCTCCCTGGTGATTCTGATGACTGGAGTGGCTTTTGTACAGGTAACTATTCAAGATAAGTATACCTCTCACTGCATTATAGGCTCAAAACCTTGTGTACTGTGGTGGACAATATGGTTCTATTGTCTGCAGAAGCAAATACATGCTTATTCTCACAACTGAGATATTTTTTGAGGGCTTCCTTTGAGCAAGATACTATACTGGGACTGTAACTGATCCTAAGAGGTGTGTAAAGATCAAATTGTCTGACATGAAGAAATGAACCATTTAGTCACCACTGTGATCTGCCTAAAACCAAGTCCAGTCCCATCTATTTCCTGCCATTCAGAGCCTCTCATCACTGTCCCGAGAGTATAGTACGTATACAGGGTGTCCCCCAAATGTATACACACTGAATAATTATAAAGTAGTGTTGATGAAAATAATTTCATTTTCAAAATTGAGCTATCAGCTGTTAAAGTGTGTATACATTTTGGGGGACACCATGTATATCTTGAATAAATATTTTAAATGAGTATTAGAAAAATATAACGGGCATATCAAGCCCTTATTTTCATAGATATTGCTTAGAATAGTCTGAAATAGGTATCACCTTTTTAAAAGAGATCTTTTAAATTAAAATACCAAGTAATGAATAGTCCTGGTGGAACATGGGTTTGACAAACACCGTGAAGTAACTGGTGTCGGGAGCGCTGTTGGGCAGGATGCAGCCCAGGTGGCGGGCAGGCCCGGGCAGGGCAGCCGCCGCCCGCCCCACACTCCCCTCTCTGCGGCCGGGGTGGTTAGAGGCCTCTCCGCGCCCCTCTCTGCGCAGTCAGTCTTCTTTCTCTTGTTGGGGCAGGTTTTGAGATGATTAGTCAGCAGTAATGTTACTGTGGGGGAAATAAAACGCGGCTAAGGCCGTCTTTCCAAAGCCCTCCTCTGCGCCCCCGTTCAGCGCTGGCGGCATTTCCGTGCTCAGGCCTGAGCGGGCACTGAGCACGCACCGTGAAGTGCTGCGGGATTAACCTGTGCCGTGTTCCGCTTTGTCAGTGGCCCTCCGATTCTCAGGAGCTGGACTCGAAGGCGCTCTCGGCCGGCTCGCAGTTTGTGGGTCTCATGGCCGTTCTCACCGCGTGCTTTTCAAGTGGCTTTGCTGGCGTTTACTTCGAGAAAATCTTGAAAGAGACCAAGCAGTCGGTGTGGATCAGGAACATTCAGCTGGGTAAGTGTGAGATGTTTTCTAATGTTATTTTTCAGAGTGGTGATGATGTTATATTTATCTAGCAATAGGAAGGCACAAGATGCTTTGAAATACACCCAAAGTGAGCATTTCCCAAGTATTTGAAGGGACAGCAATGTTGTTCTGTAATTTCTGCATTATATTTTGTTAATGCTCTAAGGTTAGTAATCACTGTTCTTTTTCATATTTTCATGTCTTTGTCTTACATTCATAGTACTAAGTATACTTTTGTTAAATTTATATAAATACCCAAGTAGAAAATTTGAAAAGTAGCCAGATTTTATCCAAAAAAAAGTATCACCTGGCTGGCGTGGCTCAGTGGTTGAGCGTCCGCCTATGAACCAGGAGGTTGGGGTTCGATTCCCGGTCAGGTCACATGCCCGGGTTGTGGGCTTGATCCCCAGAGGGGGGTGTAGGAGGCAACCGATCAATGACTCTCATCATTGATGTTTCTATTTCCCCCTCCCTCTCCTTTCCTCTCTCTGAAATCAATAAAAACATTAAAAACAAAAAAGTATCAAATTATTTGGAATGCCAATGGACAAATCTCCTTCCAACACATGACATAAACTTTCCATTTTTTAGGTTTCTTTGGGAGTATATTTGGACTGATGGGTGTATACGTTTATGATGGAGAATTGGTATCCAAGAATGGTTTTTTTCAGGGATACAACCGACTGACCTGGATAGTTGTTGCTCTTCAGGTAGAACATTTACTTTTCTATTTAATGCTAATGCACTTTATTTTAATTTAGAGAATCACGGTAGCTTCTGATGTGCTGCTGGGAGGAGAGGTGGTCCTGACCGCCCTCATTGCCTCTGGTTTATTCCGGGAAGTGAAAGTAGCACTGGTCTTGATGCCACCATGAAAACTCGCTTTGAAGAGGGGACGTGAGGGACTCCGTGGCCCTTCAGTTTAACATGAAAATGCAAATGTAAGGAGAGAAGAGTTGAAGCTGAGGGCAGATATAACTTCCGATTTTCTGCACTAGGCCTTATACAGGAAGTCAGCGGTCAGCCCACTCAGGCTCAGGAAGCAGCTCCAGAGATTTAATCTGTGACAGCTTTCAGCCCAGGCTGATCTGTCTTTAAGATGAGAGAAAAGCAGACAGGATGAGTGAAAATTCAGAGAAAATTTGCAGTAGAGATAGGATAAGTCAGGAGAGGTTATTGATGGCTTTTATCTTACCAAGGAGGGGAGCCCGCTTCCCTTAGGACGTGTCTGAAGACAGTGAAAAGGGTTTGGAACCAGTGGTAGGAGGGAGTGAACAGGAGTAGGCGGGCGAGTGAGAACATCGCAGGGGGCGCCGGAGCTCCAGCGTCCACTGCAGTGGGCCAGTGGCCCAATTCATGGCTTTCCCTGCGAAGCTGTCCCTGGAGGCGGCGCAGGGAACACTGCCGAGGTGGCTGACCCAGACGGGGGAGCTGCCAGGCAGGACTGGCAGGAAAGAACGAGTGTGGTCAGACCCCATTATTTAAGCAGCCACAGTGGCGTTTGAGAGGGACTCGGTGGAAAGCTCTCTCTACTCTGCCCAGAAACGAGGAAGCCCGTGGAGGTAGGAGGCTGTCCAAAGGCTGGTGAAATTACTCTCCTTACCTCATTGCTAGTCAAGAGTAAAAACAGTTCACTAATTGGTGACCAGTGTTCCCACATTTTCTGAACTGTGATGTTTATACTAAATTGGATGGGGCTAGATATTTTATTCATAATATGATCAGACTTCATTGTAACAAACTGCAGGTTATGCTGGTAGTTACTGCATCAGACACCTTTTGAAATAAGAGGCTATTGAGCAAAAGCTAGAAGGTGACTGGTTATGAGGGATGTTTAATGAATATCATTTGCCATAATGGATTAAGTTTATAGGCCAAAAGCTTAAAACTTCATTGAGTAATGACACTGTTCTGAAAAGCAGTTTATGTGTTTGTTTTTAAAAATAATCTTTTAAAACTTCTGCAGGCACTTGGAGGACTTGTAATAGCTGCTGTTATCAAGTATGCAGATAATATTTTAAAAGGATTTGCAACCTCTTTATCTATAATATTATCAACACTGATATCCTATTTTTGGCTACAAGATTTTGTGCCAACCAGGTAATATCTTCTTTTCTTTAAATCTCCAAAAGGATATAGAAAAATAAGGATTTTTCTTAAGATTTGGTTTGAAAAATTCTGTTCTATTACAACTTTTGAAGAATCATGGAAATGTAATAAAAGGTCCATTTAGCTAGCTGTCTTTTAAAAAAAGTTTCAAATTAAATGCACAAAAAAATCTTCCACTGGAAAATTTTTTTATACAAATTTGGCTGGCCAGAAGTTTCCCAATAGATCTGAATGGGGTTTTCCCCCAAAGTAAAAAGTCATATTAAAAAGTTCATTAGTCTTATAAAGTCATAAAATAAGCCATATAATATTTTAAATTTTTTGTAGGTTTCATTTTTTAAAGAATATACATGTCAAAAGTTAAGTCAGTATTCTAGTTTATGTCCAGCTTAAGTTCCAATACCAGTTTAAGTTCATTTCCAGTTTATAGTAAGGGACCATATTTATAGATAAAAGAAAGAAGAAACCAAGTTTCCCTGCTTTTAACCTTCCTTTTAAAAAGCATCCTAAAAAATTGCTTACTACTACCTTGGATTTTAAACTGAAATTTACTTTGGTTTGAAAAGAATGTAGATTTCCCTTTATGTTTTAAATAAAGCTGAGACCTGTTCACTGCACTGCAGGGAAGAGGGGTATTAAGATGAACTGCGTTTAAAACGTCTTGCCCTGGGAGACAGGATGGTGGGGCGGACGAGAGGCTGCAGCGGACAGACGTGGCTTTCAGTCGCCTTCCGCTTAGAGTTGTGGGGCTGGACGCAAGTTGCCGCAGCTCTGGCACAGATCCTCGCGCAGTAAAGAGTGAAAACCGAACGACCGCCTCCTCGCGGGTGGCCGTGGGAACCAGAGCGCACGGCTTTGTCAGCCCCGTCCCGGGGCACTTCCCCGGCTAGACTTGCTCTAGTAAAGAAACAGAAGGAATCGTTCTGCTTTTCCTCTGATTTTGTCTTTATTTTTCCTTGTCTGTTTAGTGTCTTTTTTCTTGGAGCCATCCTTGTAATAGCAGCTACTTTCCTATACGGTTACGACCCCAAACCCGCAGGAAATCCCACCAAAGCTTAGAGGAGTGCTCTCGTGGCCATCACGGTGCCCGGGCTCGCGGCGTTCCCCTGGCAGAGGGTTCCACAGATCCGAGAAGGTGCCGCCCGACTCTCATCACACTGGTCAAATGGTCGGAAAACACAGACGTTTAAGGATACAGCATGTGTATATGTAACAAAATGCCTGTCGCCTCTAGAAATCCAAACTTGAACGTATCGCCAGGGATTGGAATCGTTGCAGGAAACCTGAATCTGCGTGTAGAGAGTTTGCCTCTCTGGTTGCTGCAGAAATGGCCTGTGCATTCTGCAAGGGCCCACGCAGCACGGGCCAGAGGTCGGTTTCTGCACACAGCTGTTTAATCCTACTTAATGTTTTTATCTTACTCTTTCTGTACAGATACATCAAATCATATGGAATAGCCAGAGTTTGACAATTATAATTATAATTATTATAATTACCTGTAAAGCTGTGAAGAGATAGAAGTATGACCTGAAAAACATTTTCACGTATCTGAGATTTCTATATTTATACAAAAGATTGGTAAACAAAAGATTGCTAAATGTTATTTGTTCAACTACATAAAAATTGATGAAGTAACATTCTGGGTCTGATTTGTCAGAATAAAATCATAGTCACATTTAAGTATCATGTAGAGAAATACACACGCGTATTTCTCCATCTACCTTGTAGGTCTCTCCATGCTCCGAAAGCGTCCAGTGGCTCCGTGCTAGGTGGGACCCGGGGACCCTGACGCTAATGGAGTATGACCATCTTGACTGCGTTTCTTTTCATAAACCACATAAATCTTTACTAGTCCTTCAAGTTAAATTTCTGTGTGTTCCATTAAAGTTTTAATATGTAATTTAAAGGGATTACATACTCATTTAATAATTTAAAATAAAATAATTATTACCTAATATCTCCATTTGGAGAGTGTTGAACTATCAGAGCATGCACTGTATGCAATTAGAATGTTTTTAATGAGTATTTTACTCATTGATCTGTAAACTCTACAACTGTTGACAAAAACAACCACCAAAAAAATAGAACTGGTATCAAGGAGTTGAGACCAAAAGGACTTTTCTTGGGACATTCCAGGTCACCACGACGCCACGTTATTTCAAGTGGCACTGTACCTGTAAATCCAAGGCCGCCCAGCACTTCCCAGGCCTCCCACACCCGCCGTCCCGGGACCCCAGCACACGCTGGGAGGCGGCTAGTTCCCTCTGTGCCGCTGTGGCTTCCCTTCCGTCTTGACGGCACCGCAGGGCAGGTGCACGTTACCTGCGCTGTTCGGTCAGTCGGTGGGAGACTGCGGCAGAAGTGGGAAGGTGAATGTGGGCAAAAATACTTGCTAAGTTGGAGCGTGGGTGTAAGTACTGACTAGACAGAACTACCACTGAATAAAAGAAGTGTTTTACTTTTTTTTTCATTCATACTTAATATATTTTTTAAAAGTTTCCTGCTCTAATAGTATAAAAACTGTAAAATGTAAATATTTTTATATCATTCTAATGGATTTCGTTGAACAGAATTTGGCTCAAAAATACTATTTTCCAAACTTGGGTACTTTTTGCTAATTAGGATTGGCTGTTACTTTGTGATACAAACCTTGTCTCTACAGGACACAGGCCTAATTTATTTCACGCAGTTTAAATGTGTTTAAAATGACAAAATACTTTAAATGATTTTGCTGGTGATTCCAAATCGGCACCAAGCAGATTTTCTGGAAGTCTGACTTGTGATTTTCAGTCACCAAGTGAAAATACCTTTTAGAGTGTTTGTTTAATGACTAGCACATTCGAGCATGGTGCTTCTAGCTAACAACATGCAGACTTGCATCTCATTACCTCCTGCGATGTGAAATCTAAGTCCTGCAAGTGCAAGTGCTCAGAACTCCAGGCTGAATGTAAAGATTTATGTCCAGACCACAAGAAGTCCTGGTTGCGTAACTATGCATTAATTCCATATGCACTCAAAATTAACTGTTAATTCAGGTTTATTCTGTCTCTATTTTAACACTTCCAAAAATAATACAAGAGCATGATTGCGTATCAGATATGTTAGTTACAATGATGTATTTTCAGGTGTCCAATATAACACAATTTTCAAGATTCCCAACAAAGTTTATAAAATTATAATCAAGAGTTGTGAGAAAGGAGAAAATAGTCTAAAGTATATTTTCAAAGCAATTTTTTATCGTATTTTGCTTTTCTAGTCAGTTTGAAAACATTATTAGAGATTGGGTTGTGCAGTTTATATGTTTTAATTCATAAAGGAATCGTCACCTTTGAGAAGGTGGACCTGTGTTGCAGATCATGTCGTGTACACAGGATGTGCCACTTTCTTGGCTGTGGTATGTGTGGGATGACCTCAAAGGCCTTATGGAATCACCTTTCATAATGACGGCTCTTTGGTCACTTAAATTCTTACACTTATAAAATTTGCTGATCTCTCGGCTACTTTGTTCATTATAAAAGCATGCTCATTCATAGGAGAAAAGTGCCAGTTGATGGTTCTATGAAAAATTGAGAACATGGTATTTGGGAATAAAAGTCTGAAATGCCACGTGAAGATGTTTCCACGTAGTAATAGTATCAGTTCTGTAACAAGTGATTCAGAGACGTCATAGGCTATTTTTATGGTGGAAAATGTAGTTTAGAGATGCAGGATTTAAATGTTTACATCAGTTTATATTGAATGTCACAGTTTCATAGGAGGAAGGGTAGTGTGATATTTAAACTAGATTCTAAGGAGACAAACCCAAAAGGAAACTAATTAATGCTGACTGTTCTTAAGAATTGATGCACTTTTCCTGCAAATTATTGAACTTTTAAAATGTCATCATATAGTCATTCAACTGAGTTTCTTTTAAAAACGGTTTAGCATTACTCATTTTACTTACACTTTCGTTGTCATAATATTTAATTACACATGGATGCTTTATGTAAGGAAAAGTTTATAGAAGTTATTTATCTCTATTGAAAGTCATTTTAAGAATCTCAAGGATATGTAGCATATTTAAAGTAATTTTAGGACCAAAGGAAAAGCACCTTTATCGAAAGCTGGTCCTGTGTGCCTTGATCCACCCGACCCCGACTTTGTTCCTGGAGGCTATTCCTATAACTCACAGCTCGGGACACTTTGGCAAAATTAGGACATTTTAAGAATAACTATAATTCAGTGTTTTGGTTGTTTTAACATTTGCTCTTTAAGTTCATTAGCTAACAGAATATTAAGATAGGTATACTGTACAAGCCTTAGTGGGTAGAAGGTATTTAAATAACGTGGGGCACCAGTCCTCCATCATTGAGCTTTTCATACTTTAACAATTTTATGTAACTGTCATGTTTTTCGTTTTATTTTTTATTATGAGGTGTAATTTACTGTGATTTAAACAAAATTTTTTAATGATTTGGGTTCTGAATCTGTCTATATGTCTATGTATTTTATTTGTTTAGAAAGATTCTTTTTGGCTTGGGAATGTAATTTGTATATTTAAATTTTTTATGACATAATTCAAAGAAATATATAAACTGGTCTTTTGTCAAATGGCTTTTTAAAATTGATCGATTTCATTGTCATTTTTTGGTATCCAGTTACCTACTTAGATTTATGAAAATTATTTTCATAATTAACTTTATACATTTCCTCCTATATTCCCTTGTTTCCCTACTCGCCTGTGGTGGACATGACCCAAGTTAGTCTCCTCTTTAATATAAAAAATGACCCACGGATCTTTTCCCTGCTCCTCTCATTCCCTGTGTCACATACGACCCTTTTCTAGCTTATGCTCAAGCATCAAAGACGGTATCATTTAAACTAATCAGAGTTTCTCCACCTGTATGATGACAGCCTAAAATTTTGTTTTAAATTATCCCTTTGCTGGCTTCAAGGTTAGGCAATTATTTATACGCTGGTTCTTTTAATTTCAGAAATGTCAGATGCTTCTGAACACAGCGCGACTTGGGCAGAGGAGCGTGGCAGGGGCGAGGCTCTGCGCTAGGTGGCACATGGCGTTCCTTCATTTTCAGCCCCGCCGTGCAGTGCCGGCTTCGTTAAGTGCGGGGATGGTTTAAATGGTGCAGTTGGTAAGCCTTTAGTCCATGCTGTATGTTAATGTGCACTCTGAGCGAATTTTAAATGACCATGAACCGTCACTGTTTCACAGAAGAGGTCCCGGTCCCGCTGGCTCACAGCAGGGCTTCAGGGCTGATAGGTCCGCGTTCCGCTCGTCCTTTCCCAGGGCTGAGCGTCAGCCCCGCGCTGGACCTGTTCAGTGTCTCTCTTACGCAGTGACTTACACTTATTCATTCTAATATGTTAAAATAACCTCTTTAAAACAGATAGCGTGGCATTCCTTTGGAAATCGTTTACCCAAGATACACACTTCTGCGCTTTTTAAAGTAGATCTCACTGAAGGTTTAAACGAGTGATGAATGTTACCGAGTTTTTGGGAAAAGTTGTGCCACCGTAGTGGGGGCCAGTGTCATCGTCAAGACGTCCGGCTCCCCTTGGCCCTCCCCCCTTTGGAAATGTTAACTTCGTGGGTTTTTACCCAGGGGCCCAGATCATTGTTTTTCCGTATCATTTTTCCTCTGAACCTTTTTTTGTCTTTTGTTTCTTATAGCTGATTTATTCAACTCCATTTTCTCACTTTACCTTCACTTGTAATTCTGTTAGATGCCCTGTAATTTGGTTTTCTTTTTTTAAATGAATTTTACTTTTTATTGAACCTATTGGGGTGACATTGGTAATAGTTCTATAGGTTTCAGGCGTACAGTCCTATAATGCATCATTGTATATTTCCCGCCACCCCAAGTCTAGTCCCCTTCCATCGCTGTTCATCCCCGTTACCCTCTCGTCTCCCCCAGCCCCCTTGTGGTTTTCATTCTTTAGATGATTTTATGGTTTCAGTATATTGCCCGAGTTTGATCACCTCTCCTTCAGATCTCCCTGCTGTAAAATGTCCTGTCCCGCACCTCCTGCGCCTGCGGCTGCGGCTGCGGCGCTCCCGCGCGTTCCTCCCCCGCTCGCCGGCGCCCGTTTCCCGGCGCTGCCGCCCGGAGTGGGGGGAGGGCCCGCGGCCGCCTGGGGAAGCCGGCCAGTTACACCTCCTTTCCTTTTTTTGTCAGATTGGCAAAAAAATACATTTTTTGGTGTGTCGTGGAATTTTGGTAATCAGTTTCTGTGCCGGGAGAGGAAACGCCGGGAACGGCTGCCCTG